TGAAGCTGAAACTTCAAGTGAATGACTTGATGCAATCTGTTGACTTTCCTTTAAAAGAAAACTGCCTCCAGATTAAAAATTAGAAAAACTTGACTGCAATGTTTGATAGCTACAAACAATGGAATAAATATTATCTGTTATTTTTTGACAAGAGCTACCCTTAAGACCAAAATATTACATTTTTACAGTGAAAACTTTTTTTTTCATATTTATAATAAGTCACCATGTCACAACCTGTCTATTATGTACCATGCCTTTTGCATAGAGACAGACAGCTGTAACACCTCGCTGTTGGCCGTGATGCACAACAGTTATAGAAAATAGATGGATGAACAGATGGAAACATACAAAAACATACTTATCACACATAAATTCCACCTAAAATCATATATCAGTCACTTATTTCTCATATTAAGCCATGTACTGTTTATTTCCCCTTATGACTTCTTATGAGTTTGAAACCTTTTATTCTTAATCAGCAGTGAGATAATTCAGAGCTTTAAGATTTACTTTTTAGTTTTATTAAACATCTTACAGTCAAAGAAAAAACAAAAGCACAAATGAATGTCATCAGGAAGCTAGGTCTCATGTTAGTAGTCTTCTCAAGGGTCTAATTAGAGTGCAAGTGTAATCAAAGGTTTCCCAAAGAGGGACATTGGTGTATTCTTATCTTAAACGCAACCTTATGCAACCTTATGCAACATTATTCCTTAACTTTTGTCAAAAAATGTTTTTTCCAAACTTAGATATAGAATTGGTATAAGAAACAACAACTTGATTCTAGCCTAAAATTTTAAATGTTCAACATTATAAATGTACATCCACAGGCACCATAGACACCATAATAATTCTCTTTTATTCTTCCAAAACTTTCTCAATTCAAAAAAGGCTAAATGCTTCAACATTTTAAAGCTAGTAACATTTTATTTTTTATTAAAAACCCATAATTTATCGTTATACTCTACAGGCCACATTTTGTTTAATAGAATGTTACTGTCGGTTTGAAATGAGTATTAATTTAAAAGGGTTAAAATAGAAAAATGTATGACCTTTCAGTGTGGTTAAACATTACAAATCATTCTACCCATTTAACTATGCTATTACTGTTCTAAAACAATTCCTGCCATTAATGATGACTTATAACAAAATCTGTAAGTTCAATCTTGTTTTTTTAATATAAAAAAGACCCAAAATCTGCACCTATTACTAGGATAGACTGTAGGAGCTGTGTGGTTAATAAAATCCACTCAGGTAAAATAAAACATACGCTCGGAGACCTCCATTGAACACTGGGGATATTAGCACTCCTCTATTACCAACAATTTAAATTCTCATGGCTTTCCATAAAATACACGTGTCTACTCAAGTGGGAATCCTAAGCTATTAGCATTATTAAATCTGGGTATTACTCCCATTGAGCTCTCTGGGGGTTGTAGGGAAATTAATGCCTAACATTGTGCTGATGTTAATTTTATAGAAAAGACAAAAAAAAAACTCTGTAAAACCACCTAAAAAAATCTGAGGTCAGTTTCTACTTAAAAAAGGCTTTTATATGTTAACCTTCATAAAGATGTTAAACTGCAGCATAAAAACTTTCTTGACCATATATAAAAAAAATATATGTATATAGCTTCTGAAGCACATATGGGTAGCATACTAAACAGTAGTACGGGCAGTAGCTAAAGCAAGGGGCCTTCATATGCAGGTCATTCAGAGTGCTCTTCACCATACACTTGAATGGACTGTGCACATACTTTTAGTCCTGCTGAGTCTGCCTGTACAGTTCAGCCTTCTCATGACAATTGACTTTATTTCCCATGCTATCATAGGACGATTGTGCCTTCTAGATTTATAAAAAGAAAAGAAATGGTTGTGTGGAACCTTGTGCCATTTCTTCTCACACTGGTCAATGAGGCAGAGAGAGTCGCTGTCACATTTAAAACTGTTTGGTATGAATTATTTTTCTAGGTGACAATTACTTTCCTGAGTACTGTAGTAAGAGACAAAGGTTCCCAGTTATAAAGATTTAGCTATGTGTACACCTTTCTGCTAGGGGTCCACCTCAAGTTTGCGTGGACTCCACATAGACGTTTGCTCACATATATCTCCGCAAATATGGGCCTTAAACAGTACTTTGGTGCAACCTTAAAAATTCTTCCTGTAATTGGGTGCTTTGTTTCTAGACTGGATAACTGGTTAAACTGGTCTAAAACCATAAAATGAACTAGAAATAGCAAGAGTGGTACCCTGGCACAATTATAACTACAGGTTTTAGAATGTTTTAACCAGACTCTGGAGAGTTTTGCTTGCAGTGTTTATGCCTATCCCAATGTATATAAAGAAGTAAAATAGAATTAGGATAAGAGTAACACATTTAAATTAGCAATAAGTGATATTCCAGTGGTATTGTCCCTACTCTTTTGAAATTGCCTTTTCATCATGCCCTCCGCATGTCCTGCACCAAACAGCTAAAGCACACTGCCAGATCTCAAAGCAGCTGTAAGACGCTTATCAGGAAAAAATATCTGAAGAGATGGATATATGTGTGCCCTATGGTCCTGTGAGTAGTGCCATGGTTGGTATGAAATTATGATGCCAATGGTCTTAAATTTAGCTGCTGTTAAATTTCTAAGGCTGTTAATCTTACCACAAAATCAAGAACAGAGCTGCGAGACTGACACCATGCCAAGTCTTGATATAGAAAGATGCAAGTGTGGTGTTTTGGCCTGAAACACTGAGGGGTTGATGATAGAAACAGGGACTCGAGAGGATTTATTAGGTTACAAATGTTTCTCAGTGCTGCTTTAAGCGCCTCTCCAGGTCCGTGCTTTTACATAGAGATAACATGGGAATCTTTAAGTCCAGCTGGGAAATTTGTGTTGGGTGTCAACATATCTTAACGCAACATTTGCAAAGTCAGCCTCCCTGACTTATAACCCTTTACCCCTGGCCAAAGAAACTATTTAAACCTGTGAACAATCTCTTTTAGTGACAGTGGAAACCGCTCACTGACTGCCTGGGTCAAACAACTTGGCAAGCAACCAAGGGAATAGTGGGAACACCAGATCCACTTTTGGCTCACACAAACAGACCATCGTAGGGTGCTGGTGCTACAAACATGTGGTAGATCATACATAATTTTATAAAGTAAATAACCGTCAAGAACAAAGTCGCTTGCACATGGCATTTATTATATCTCCCTTTATTGTTTGATAACGCACTATATATGTAGCAATGTTTTAAAATAAATTCTGATTGCAAATGAAGGATTTTAGGCCTATTTAAACAACCCGCTTTCTTGATCCCACTGGTGCAAAAAACAGCAGTATAAAATGAAACCACTAGATTCCCCCACTCCCTATACCCACCCCCACACTCAAACACAATATTTTGATGTATAAAAAGTGGGAATAATAGTGATAGATATTCTTTTCTGACAAAATATGGAAATAGATTTATTCAAAATGGATATATGTCATACGGTAGGATCTTATTTTTATTTTTCCATCTAAATTGACTTCCTTCCGACTGCTAGAATTTTTAAATTAGGTAAGAAGAGTGCCTGAAAAATATTTCTCATCTTTATAAACCATTTTAAATGTATAGATTAAACGTGATAGTTGGTGCAAGATATAGCCAGCGAAATGGCTTAAAAATTGAGAAATTTTTCTACCAAATCCAATTATTAGATTTTTTTTCTTAATAAAAATGAAAGAAAACATGTATTTCTTTAAAAAAAAAACAGGTTGGATTTCAATCTTTCCCTTGATTTTATTAGTTCATTGCCCAGCCCTAGTTCCATGTTTATTTATACTGAGCGATTTGCCTGTATAAAATGAGAGGAAACATTGGGACAACCTTACTTGTGTGGCATCATAAATGTTTGGGAGCGCAAAATGAAAACGTTAATAATTATTACCCACAAAAGGACTTATTAATCTTGAAATTTATTGCAGGATCAGTTCTGTTTTTTTTAATTTAGCACATTTTAAAATCATTTACATCAGACAGGGCTCTTTCCTTGTCCAGACACTTGTGAGAGGAGGTCGAGAGGAACTGACAGTCAGCATTTTGAGGTGTAATGACTGATGTCTGAATTTTTAGATTACATCTTTGTTAATTTCATTTATCTTTAAATTAAGTTCTACTTTTGTTTGAAGCACTTTGAGATACTCATATTTAAAGTGCAATATAAATAACATGCATTCCTATTGTATGTTTTTTTTTTATAGTTATTATTACCTCCACCTCTTTGGCTTAAAACTTAATGTTACGTTTATGGCCACTTTTAAACTAACAAGAAGAGCAGTCACAGTGTTAAACACACAGTTTACTAATCTAATTACAGGGGAGACTGAATTGTTTTTCACATTTTATCCATTGCACACACAACAGGCCTTTTCTGCAATTTTTTTCATGCAATTTAGCCCTCGTTTTGTAGGATCTTTGAAGATCAAGCCCTAATTATGACCAAAGTTATGCCTATTACCTTGTTCAAGTTTTAACTAATAACTTGGTCTTTTGGACCTAAAGTAACGGTTATTAAGAAAAGAATTGTGAGTATATTCTTGCTAACAGGAGTATGACATAACTGTCAACGAAATTACTGTCACCTTAATATAATCAAGGTTATTAAGGTACTACTTGACTTATTTTGAGGAAGTATCGCCTCCTCTAAAATAGTCAAATCAAGATCAAACCCCATATCATGTTCAGGATGTAAACTACCATCCACGTAACATTGCTAGAAAAAAAAAAACCCATCAGAAATCCCTGGAGAAAACAAAGAGGATGAAAAATAACCACACCTGCATCAAAAGGTATAATAAAGAAAGGGATTTAGAGCATTCATCTATCTGTTAAGAACTTACAGCTGTGTTGCAAATTCTTGTGAAAGGTATGCTTGAAATGAAACAGCTAATTGCAATTTTACTTATTTTTTAAGTTAGTTTTATTTATTTAATAGAACGAAAATTATAGAATCAGTTGAAATATATATAAATTATATCAAATACATGAATGTTTTTGTATAGTTTCATTTTTCTTTTTTTTTTCTTAGATGCTTTGAGTTTTTGAAGGTATTTTCATCATGTCAGAGAGCAATCAAAGCAGAGTAACTGAATTTATACTAACTGGATTTCCTGGACTTCATCCAGAATATTATTGTATTGCTTCATTTGTTTTATTCTTAGTCTATGTGGTGACTGTTATTGCAAATATCACTGTGTTTTTCTTATTTGCAACTAACCAGAGCCTTCACAAACCAATGTATTACATAATTTTAAATGTATCTGCCTGCGATCTTCTCTTCAGCACAACAACTTTACCTAAAATCATCAGTAGATACTGGTTTCAGTCAGAGAGCATTTCCTTTACTGGTTGTTTTGTCCAGATGTACTTTGTACACTATTTAGGCTCTGTTAATTCTTTTATTTTCTTCCTGATGGCTTTCGACAGGTATGTTGCTATTTGTCATCCTCTCCGATATACAACAGTCCTTAAAAAAAACACAGTCCACATTCTCAGCATGACTGCATGGATTATTACTATGGGGTTCCCTTTAATGTTAGTCATTAGAGCATATCCTCTTCCTTACTGTGCATCAAATGTTATTCATCACTGTTACTGTGATCATATAGGAATAACAGTTCTGGCCTGCACAGACAGAGCTCCTTATTCTTTTCCTGCTTTTGTGGGGGCAATGATTACACTGTTAGTACCTTTGGCATTTATTGTTTTCTCCTATTTCTCAATATTTATAGAAATAAGTAAGGTAGTAGGTCCAAAAAAATGTTTTAAGTCTCTGTCTACATGTAGTACTCAGTTAATTATTATCTCACTGTATTATGTACCTCGATGTTTTGTGTATTTTGCTAGCCAAGTTGGGATTACATTTAGTGCTGATTTGAGAATAGTTATTATAATGTGCTATAGCCTTGTCCCTCCAATGATAAACCCACTTATCTACTGCCTAAGAGCTAAAGACATCAGAGAGTGTTTATTAACACTAGTCTACAGAATAACTGGACAAAAAGCTCAAGTTTTACCAGCTAATGATTAATCATAATTATTTCTTTTTAAGTATAACTGAAAACCTGGTCCTGAAAATCTATATATTTTTTAAGATTATCACAATATCAGAAGAAACTATTGTGTTAATGTGATTTCATATTCCGTTTGTAAATTACAAGTGACAAATCACAAGGCCTAATTTTAAAGGGGTGAAAAATAAAAAATAGCTTTTCTCATTTTATTTTGAGTTTTTTTGTGTGTCTGTTATTGCATGTCAAGAGCTGTCTAAGCCAAATCATGGCTTGAATCTCCTTGATCATCAAGGTCATCCATCCTTGCCAAGCAGCCGCAGTTGTTGCCAAGCTGCCTGTCAGTGCTTTGATTTAAATATTGAAATTTCTTTTTCAGTTCAATCACAAAGAAGTAGCTGGTTTTAGCTTCTGGGTTGACACATTCCAAAACAACAAACAAACAATCTGAAAGATAAAGCAAACGTACATAAAATAAATAAAATAAGAGTTCTAGCTAAGATAAACAGGGAAAACCAAAGACTTAAATTATTATATTCCTCTACCTTACATATAACATTTAAAATGTTTACAAAGGCCCTTCAGTTGTTGGGAAAAGGAGAAGACAAAAGAAGAGTAGGCCACGACAGTGTCATCTTACACGATACATTTTCTCCCACAGTGAAATGCTGTGAGGTTCATGACAGGTAAGGTACTCAGTGTGTCTCAATTTAACAGCAGAATCCCCCTCGAAAGTTTTGATTTAAAGGCTAATTAAGACAAAGTGCAGCGACAAGGCCCATCCATATTCACAAATCCTTCAAAGGATCCTTCAAATAAGGTCTGCAAATGTGTCTTCCTCTCTCAAAATTTGAAGGATGGCTCCAGTGTATCCTTCTTGGTCCGCCATTTTGCATGATTTACTGCAGGTCGAAGCAGAAATGTCAAGCTCAGGCAGCAAACATGGACCAAGTAGCAAAAATTGTGATTAAAAACTGGTATATGACTGTTTCTGTGACACAATATGAACATTAAAGATGTTTTTAGATGGGAATGTAGCTTTTTTTTTTTTTACTCAAATATTTGCTGTGTTTATCAAGATTTAAATTAACTTAATAAGGAGCTCCAGTATTTTTTGGAGCTGCTGCAGTGGCATTAAATGCAGGAGTTTGTTCTGCAACCAGAGGATAGTTGGTTCAAGCCCCAGCTCTGGCTTTTAAGTGTCATAGTGTCCTAGGGCAAGACACTTCACCTTCCTGGCCTACTGATGGTGGTCAGAGGTCCCGGTTGTGCCAGTGTACAGCAGCCTCTCTTCTGTCAGTGAGCCCCAGGGCAGCTGTGCCTACTATGTAGCTTGCCACCATGAGTGTGTGCATGAATGGGCGAATTACTAAATTTACTGTAAAGCGCTTTGGTCAGCTTTTGATCTTCTGACCTGAAAAAGTGCTATATGAAATACAGGACAGTTACCATTTTACTATATATGAATATTTAAGGAAGAGAGAGAGTTTAAGTTTGTGGTCCAACCATTTTATTTGTTTTATTTGCTTTTTATTTTTCTTTTACTTTAATTCTATGTTATTGTTTAATTAATGTAAAGCAGTTGTCTTGTACTGAATTGTGTTGTATAAATAAACCTGCTTTGCACTGCCTTAAGACCATTTCTAGCCGAGATCTCCTTTCCACTCACAGATGGTATGCGTGATGCCTCCACTCCAATCAATGAGGAGTAGAGGTGTCCAACACCTGTGCTCCTGCTTGTCACGGTCAGTCCAACATATCACTCCCAAATGTTAAGCAACCAGTCAACATCCGTGGTCCACCTGATTTCTCCCGCCAGCCCAATAATGTCAGCCTGTTGTCAGGGCAAAAAGACCCAACAAATATTGATAGGCCTATGGCTCTCACCTCAAGCATTGAAAATCAGAGAGAGGCTTGTATTTGCTCACATCAGACCTACAGTATTGGTGTGTCACAGCCATGAGATAAAAAAACTTAAATTAATTTTAAAGAATAGTTGAAAAAAATTGAAGATTCTTCCAGTGATTCTCCCCTTCCGTGAATCTCCCCTGAGCTACCAGCTTTGTTTGTGTTGCTGTAAGGGCCACTATTAATCACAGCTGAAACCAAGCTCTGATGCCTAAATCCCTTGCCTCTCCACAGACACCCTCTAATGGGAGAATTCTCAAATGCTATGGGAGTAAGGCTCTGAAGTAATATCAGTTGTACATGCAGCTCAGGGGAGATCCTGTTTTGCAGCTCTTAACTTCCAAAAGGCTTTGTTATTGCAAATAGTTTGTAATTGCAAAATGTCTGTCTTCAGTAGAATAGAATATTCTTCTCTTTGACTCTTAAACAGGTGTTACTTTGTTTTTACTTCCTTCTTGTCAGCGGTGTGTTTCATGTTTTTACTTTCGTTGGATCACTTATTTCTATATTTTATTTATTTATTTCAGATTTTTTGATTTATTTTAACCACTTTAATGCGTCAAACTGTGCCTGGTTTTATAGTGCTTTATGAATACAGTTGGTTTATTTTTGGTTAATAAACATACATTGTGAAGGTGCAGGAGTTTGTTCTGAGCAGGAGTACTCAGTGACATACATTTATGAAGAAAAGTACAAAAAAACTTTAAAATTAGATCTCCCAGAAAACCGCAAAATCCTAAAAACAATATAAGAATAAAAGTAAACTAAAGAATAACCTAATAAGGAAATCAGCAAAGAGACTTGAGCATTTGAAAGTGATCTAAAATGTAAATACCCTTGGGGCCTGATTTCAAGACGGTTTGCACGCCTTAAAACACATGCAAACTGTTTTAGGTGCAGAGTAGATTCAGATCTTCCAATTTTACATTTTCAGTTCAGTAGACGGTGTGTGCCCACCATATTTTGCCGGTCTCAAGGCACTTTACAGAGACAATTCAACATTTCATACAGTTTGATTGGTTCAAAGTTTTCTGTCTAAAGGAAAATCAGATGATTGCATCAACTCATTAACTAAAAAGCAATCCCTCACACCAGGCATGCATGTAGTGACAGTAGGGAGGAAAACTCCCTGTTAACAGGAAGAGGTCTCCAGCAGGTCCAGGCTATCTTCATAAATATGCCTTTAATTTAAATCAGAAACCTAACTATGGCAGCTTTTTATACTTCCTTTTCAGAATTTCTTAGAGACAGGTGCCAACAGACACAAACGTTTCTGCCGTCTATGTTGCCACAAAGGAGGCACTACGAAGGACCAAAATTTACATAATGGAAAATAAGAGAAGAAATATATGCATTGTATTTATTTTTTTTTTCATCTCCTTATAAATGCATTTTCTACCAAGAACATCATACTGTATATTATCCCTTTCTTTTTTCCTGTGTTTTTATCAAAAAATCTAAATTTATATTTTTTCATTTTCCAAGCCTTTGTTTTTTTTTTGCATTTCACTGTCTCCTCTTTTTCCTTTACCTTATGCATTTTTGCCATTAATTTTCTACTACTTTTTTTTTTCTCCAATGTGGAGCTGTAAATGTAGAAACAGTGGGGTTGGGTTTTGGAATTGCTTACCCTTTTCTCCTATTGGCAGAGGATAGTAGCTGCTGGTGTCTGTGTGGATATAGAACAGCTAGTACCAATGGCTAACTTCCATCATTTTCTTGATAAGAGTGGTTACAGATTTGGCAGCAGAGTAGTAAAGTTAGCAGCAGGTAATACAATTAGTCGTAGTGTTGTATGTAGTGTTGACTGTCTACCTCAGATAACATATCAGTTTGCATTACCACAAAGGTTTGTATTAGATTCAGAGGTGCTTACAAAATAAAAGCATGGGCTACAAACAGACTTACAGTACGATACATCAGTTCAAACATTTTGAAGGATAATCAGCACCATGTCGAAGAATGTTTTTTAATAATTGCCTGAAGAACACATTTCTACTAATTTAACTGTCTTCCAAGTTGTTACATCTTTTTCGTGTTGTTGAAGTAGGAAAATGTAAAATGACAGCTAGACCCCCAACGGTGGTTGTGGACTTTCCCATAAAATCTAAGGTGTGTAGTGCTAAAGAAATTTAAAAAGTGACAGTCTGGGAGCCAATCCCGTCCCAGCCCCTAAACACTAACCCTATGCACTAACCCTTTGTTTGCGCTTTCCAGTGGCTGATACACCATATTAAGGACCATACCAAACCCTGTCGTTTTCAGGGCGAGTGGACCAGTCAGCCCATTCAAATGCAAATTCAACTGGCTTGCTGCATCTTCTTCCAACTGACAGAAAATAACTAGTTAGAAACAAGAAGAAACATTATGATCCAACAGGGAAGAACCTGAATTCCTATACCGACAGTTGCCTTCCTTTTCACTTTATACCCCCTCAACCTTCAATTCAGACACATTCCACAGCTGTGAGTGTGAAAACATTTGGAGTGGCAATTGATATTTAAAGGAATAGTACACCCAAAACATGATTAGCCTTCATTTTCTACTCACCCCCATGCTGAACAACACCCTGGAGTACTTTTTTGATATCTCAAATGCATCTGGAGATCTGGGAGGCTTCTTGCTGTCTGCTGACATTCAAATAATGGAGGTGCCCAGCGCCCGAGGCAGAAAGGTCCATAAAAGTCCACAAAAAACGTGTCAATATTCCTCCATACTGCTCGTCCAATGTATTCCAAGTTTCCTATGTGGGTAGCATCCAGAATTTACTCGAAACAAAGTCATTTAGAATGTTTTTAGAGCATAAACAGTAGTGTATAGGATTTCCTGAAAGCGCGCACATGCGCGATCACGACGCTACGGAAGCCGGCAGACCAAACCAGATGAAAGTGCGCATTCAGCGTCTGCTCTTCCAATAATGCAAGCGTAGAAGAAGAAATGTGCTGTTTACCTGTGCAAAGAAAGAAACAACGAAAGAAAAATGTCTGAGGACTTCAGTGTTGAGGAAGAGCATGAGTTCTTTGCCGAGCTGAATGCGCTGGTTTGGTCTGCCGGCTTCCGTAGCGTCGTGATCGCGCATGTGCGCGCTTTCAGGAAATCCTATACACTACTGTTTATGCTCTAAAAACATTCTAAATGACTTTTTTTCGAGTAAATTCTGGATGCTACCCACTCAGGAAACTTGGAATACATTGGACGAGCAGTATGGAGGAATATTGAAACGTTTTTTGTGGACTTTTATGGACCTTTCTGCCTTGGGCGCTGGGCACCTCCATTATTTGAATGTCAGCAGACAGCAAGAAGCCTCCCAGATCTCCAGATGCATTTGAGATATCAAAAAAGTACTCCAGAGTGTTGTTCAGCATGGGGGTGAGTAGAAAATGAAGGCTAATCATGTTTTGGGTGTACTATTCCTTTAAGGTTTAGTGCTTAGGGGGCAGATTGGGATTGGGGTGGGTTTCTCCGGGAATTTGGGCATTGATCATGTTGTCAGCAGCGGCTGACACGCTCGTAAAGGCTGTGAATGAGCAGGACCATGAGCTGAGCTGTATGCTGGTTATGATTGAATGCAAGCTGGCTAAGGTGGTTAAATTCAAACGTTAGATTGGATAATTTCTTGGATCTGCATGCTCGCTTTAAAGCGGAAAAGCCCAACCAATTTGGAATACTGGATTCGCCATGTGGAGCCCAGCAAAAAATAGACTCAAGGCTGACCAATAATTCTGTGCAGCTTGCTCTCAAAATAAAAATTTATTTTGGATTTCAGCCTCCCTGTTATCAAAACTCTCCTTGATGTTATGGCGGAAGAGACCAGAACTGCCAGCTCCCCCCTATCCGTAGACACCTGTGGATGGTTTCAGAACTATAGCCCCAGGTGATAAACTTCGAACTTATCAAGGACAATGGCCTCTGGATAGCGTTCATGGATGCACCCCCCCACCACCCCACCACCACACACACACACACACACACACACAAAACTGATGCTCAGATACCAGATAGACTCACATGCCACTCTCCTACCTCTACTGAAATGTTTGTCTCATGTTGTATGTGCTTTTCTTTTGCTGAGGTGTTTTTTGATATCTCAAACTGTACCCTGTCAAGGATAAAGTGTGAAATATGTTTTTTTTCCCTCTTTTTCCTAAACGTGGCTCCTATCTTTCCACAGAGATAGAAGGCAGTGCCCCACGGCAGGGCCCCCTGGCAGCTGAAATAATGCGCCTAACGTCAGTGGGATGCCTGGCAGTCATTTCAGTTACTACTTTTATGGTGATGACACTGAATATGAGACCAAAGAATCACGGACTTCCAGGGCTCAAAAAAAAACTGGGCTTGCTGGGAATTGGTGGAGAATTTAAAAAGGAGAAATAGAAATTCAAACGTGGTAAACCTGACCAGATGTCATTTCACTAACTGATTTTCTAGTGATACCACTGATTTCAAGATCAAAGAAATCCCAGACACCACTGAAGGAGATGAGTTGACAACAGTGCCTATAATAAAAGGGCATGGTGATTTAAGATCCACTGCCTAACAGTCCTAGTTGCACAAACATTGGAGAAATGTTTCCCATCTTTCAGCTGAAGCTAAAAATTGAAAGATGTATTGAATGTGGGTCAGAAAAGAGATGCTAATAGGGAGGAGAGGTACAACAGAAAGAAGAGCAGAAGAAGATGAAGAAAATACTTTTCAACTAACTAAAAGGTTCCAGGAATTGGAAATAAAGATAGAATTGTTTATGGAATATGGAGAGCCAAACAGGAAGGAGATAGCAGAGGAATAGAAAAGGACTAAAAGGAGGAATAGAAAAGGCTAGTGGGAGCAGAAAAAAAGACAAAGCTTGAAACAAAACAGAGGAGAAGGAGGTGAATGTTAAAAGTAAAGACCCTAAAAATGTGAGAGGGATTTATTGGAATTAATGGGCGATGGGCAATGACTCTATATGACCAATGTGGCACAAATCAGAATATCACCCACTGAGTGAATGTGTTTATAAACTTTTGTATGAACTCTATAAACTGTTGCCAGGAAGAAAGATGCCTTAACCTTTAAACTCATCATCAGTTTAGGAATCCTGTCTGGATTTACAAAAGGAGGAATTATAAAGTATCTTAAACAACAGAAGAGTAAGTTTTGAGAAAAGCATTCCACAGAACTCTTTCTGAAACATTTTACAGAGCAGGACAGTGGTTCAAAAAACACCGGCCTGG